AAAGATCCAATCCAAGTAGTGGTCTGAAAGCCCCAAGAAATACTAAAGAAAAAACCACTTTCGACCCTATTCCCATATCTTACACAGAATTGTTTTCAAAATCAACTTTTGGAGCCTGTACATCTTGAACCCTTTCAACCCCTTTATCCAAAATGGTATGATCCTAATGCAAAATGTGATTACAATAATGAAAATCGGGGTCATTCAACAGAAAACTGCCTCGCACTGAAATACAAGGTTAGAGATCTCATTAAAGCTGGAAAAATAAAATTTGAAACTAATTGTGATCATCATGTCGCTGAGAACTCTCTACCTTGGTATATTGGAAAAGAGGTGAACCAAGGGTGTTAAAGCATTGATATGAATAACTTGGATGCAATGGATAGTTGAGGAATTGGAAAATGGTTCCGTGGCTTTTTCTGGGAAAATGATGGTTTGTTTGGTATTGCAAAGAAAAAGATTGATTCAAAAAAGTGCCCCTTTTGTTTCCTTTTTCACTTCTATATTAGACATGCATATGAACTTCATAACTTGTATGAAAGTTGAATCCAAACGCAAATTTAGAAAGTTTTTTTATTTTTTTTGTCTCAAGTTTTTTTTCATAATAAAAAGTCTAAAAAATTTTGGTGATCGTTATTATGTATCTATTTGAATCAAATATTCTCGTATCCTTTTCATGTCTCAAAATCACTTGAAAAAACTTTATGCTCCAAAGGATACAAGTTTGAACTTTGTGATGCCTCTTGTCAAGGCAACAAACACTGAAATGATTAATTTGAAAAAAAAAACCTTTTGAGTTCCTTGAAAATCAGACAAATATGATGCTTTTTTTTATCTAGATGCTGGTAATTTGATAGGTGTCAAGGCTATGCTTTAAACAAAAAGCCATTTCGATAGCCATGAATACGCAATGCACTTTTTTTATCTAGGGCATATTGACAGAAAAAAAATTTGCAATTACCCGAAATTTACCTAATTCATGCCATTACCCAATTTGGTGATGATATGCACAATCGGGACCTAAATAAACCCTCTTAACATGATTTTCCTTGTCACATAAACCTGGTTAACTTACCAAGATAGGACAAAGATTGGTTGTCATATGAGTTATGAAAATTAAAAAAAAAAACAAAAGAAAAAATATTGATGGGTACATCATGCACTCTAAATATTCAAACGATTTCAAAAAGAGAAAGTGAAAAAAAAAGTAAAAAGTAAAAATAAAAATAAAATGAGAGGTGAGAAAAATAAAATTTTGATTTTTCAAGGAATCACTCTTTAGCACAGGTGACCAGGCTTAAGATGACAGATGGCCATCTTTCTTCATCTTTTCACAAATAAAAAATTATCCATTTGCTACCCTTTTGAGCCTAGTGAATTCTTTCTAAATGAACCTTGGTCAAAGATCACCTTCTACAAAAAAGATTTATTTGATGAAGTCATACGTTGTAGGGTCAAATGTCAAGCAAATTGAGTTTTATAAGTTTTGAACATATTTTAGTAAATGTTGAAATATGCAAGAAAAAGCAAAAGTGGAAGCAAAAAAAAAAAGAGAAGAAAGAAAAAAAGATTATTGGATGCTACGACTAAAGAAATAAAAAGAATGAATGTCCAAAAGAAAGTCCTTGACACGATATGAAATGATCCTTGGTCTGATCTCCTTTAAACACATGTTTTGGGCCAATTTATCCATTCCTTCAGAATGTCAAACCTTGGCTTATGTTACATACCTCGAAAAGTCTATTTTGATCAAACATGGACACTTGAACTGAAGAATTTGTTCCTTGTAGAATCCTCATGACCAATTTCACTTTTGTCTATTTTTTTTACAAGATTTTCTCTTTCACAAGAGTACTTGAGTATACAATGAAATCGTAAAAAAAAAAACAAAAAAAGGAAAAAAAAAAGAAAGAAAAATAAGAGAAAAATGGAAAAATAAAGCTTTAGGGTGAAAACCCAAAAACTGGGTAGTCTAGAGCAAGAATAAGATTACAACATGAAAGCTCATTGTAACCAATGATTGAGATAGAAAATCTTGGCCTTTCCCAATATGACCTTGAATTTACCATAGCTGGTTTTGACATCTATTAAAATACCACATTGTAATACTAAAAGGGTGTCAAATCTGATTTAACCACAAAAAAACCTTTAAAAAGAATTTGTTGTTGAGCTTGGAGAAAAATTCAATTTTCCATATCAAGTTGTAGACCTCAATTTGACAATTAATCATACAAGCCATTTGAAAAGATGAAATTGCCATTCTGTTCAGACATGTGCATAATAATGATCACCATTTTTTAGAGACTTAAAGATCATATTGTTTCATAAAGGTTGACTAAGGCAGTTTTTTTTTTTTTAGAATTTTGTCATTAAAATAAAATGCTTTGAGGAAAGAAAATAAGACAAAAAAACTTTGAGGAAAATAAATGGCATTATGGGCAACACTTGTTAATACAAAAGTATGTTTAATTAGTTGAGTTTCACCACAGTTCGATGGCTTATTTTTTTGAATTCACTTTCACCAGGTTCAAGTTGATCATATGCATGTTTGATTTAAAGATGAAAAATGAAAAAAAAAGTTAAAGAAATCCAAATTGAGAAGAAAAAAAGCAAAAATTAAGCAACAAAGAAAATGATTTGGAATTGAAATGAGATGAATGATTCGAGTTTGAAAGAAAAAGAACTTTGAAAATTTTAAGAAAAGAAGATTTTGGGCAGTTGCATATCTTGACTTATTTTTTTAAGAGAAGAAAATTTTGAGCATTTGAATATTTTGACTTTGCATTTGCATCATTAGTTTGTTCATTATTGATAGGAATGTGTGCATTGGTATTTTTGGAAAAGACATTTGCATTTCATGTATATCTTTTTAAGAAAAGATATTTGCATCTTATTTGCATTTCATTTGCATCATCATTTTAAGAAGACAATTGCAACATAGTGGTGTTTGTAAATTTTGGAAACATTAAAGAAGAAAGAAAAAAAGAAATGAGTAAAAACATATTAAAAAAATCAAGAATTTTTAAAAATTTCAATGAGATGGAACAAGATGAGGGCTTTAAACCCAATCTAGCAGTAGAAAAGTTGTTAACCTAGTAAAATTAGCATCAGCCAAGGAAAATATTATGATAAATCATTTTCAAAATCACTCGGTAGTGATATCTGAGTTTAAAGTTTGAATTTACATTCTTCTCGATGGTGATATCCGAGTATTAAAGTATGAATTTCATTTTCTTGGTGGTGATATTTTAGGCATTTACAAAATCATTCGGTGGTGATATCCGAGTTTAAAGTCTGAATTTGCACTCTTTTTCTATGTTTGCATTTTTTCGGTGGTGATATTTAAGTTTCCTTCGATGGTGAAATCCAAAGTCAATATCCAAGTGTCAAGGTTTGGATTGCATTTTTTTGGTGGCGATATTCAAAGTCATTTGCATATTCTCAGCGGTGATATCTAGGTGTTAAGGTTTGATTTGCATTTCTCAATAGTGATATTTGAGTTTCCTTCGGTGATGATATCCAAAGTCATTTGCATATTTTCGGTGGTTATATCCGAGTGTTAAGGTTTGATTTACATTTTCTCGATGGTGATATTCGAGTTTCCTTCGGTAGGGATATCCGAAGTCATTTGCATCTTTTCAGTGGTGATATTGAGCATTAAAAAATCATTTGTATTTTTTTGATGGTGATATTTGAATTTCCTTCTGTGACGATATCTGAAGTCATTTGTATTTTTTCAGTGCTGATATCCGAGTGTTAAAGTTTGATTTGTATTTTCTCGATGGTGATATTCGAGTTTCCTTCGGTGGTGATATCCAAAGTCATTTGCATCTTCTCGGTGGTGATGGTCGAGTGTTAAGGTTTGATTTGCATTTTTTCGATGGTGACATTCGAGTTTCCTTTGGTAGGGATATTTGAAGCCATTTGTATCTTCTCAGTGGTGATATTTGAGCTTTAAAAAATTATTTATATTTTCTCGATGGTGATATTCGAATTTCCTTCGATGGCGATATCCAAAGTCATTTGTATTTTCTCGATGGTGATATCCGAGTGTTAAAGTTTAATTTGCATTTTCTCGATGGTGATATTCGAGTTTCCTTCAGTGATGATATCCGAAGTCATTTGCATATTCTCGGTGGTGATATCCGAGTGTCAGGGCTTAAATTACATTTTCTCGATGGTGATATTCAATTTCCTTCGATGGCGATATCCGAGTCATTCACATCTTCTCGGTGGTGATATTTGAGTGTTAAAAAATCATTTGCATTTTCTACAAGTGTGATATCCAAAGTCATTAACATCTTCTTAGTAGTGATATATGGGATTAAGTTCCTTTTTGTGATAATATTCAAAGTTATTTTTCAATGGTTCAATTTAAAGTTGTTGAGCCTCTACTTAGAAGAGCTTTTTCAAGATGAATTTTTAAAGTTAATGAGCATCTACTTAGAGAAGCCTTTTCCAAGATGAATTTTAAAGTTGTTGAGCCTCTGCTTAGAGGAGCTTTTTCCTAGATGAATTTTTTAAAGTTGTTAAACCTCTTATTAGAGGAGCTTTTTAAATTAAAAAAAAGGGTTTTATGCTTAATGTTTCTTCTTTTCGAATAAAATGATTGTCTTTTTGTCTTTGTCTTATTCCTAATTCTCATAAATAGGCAAAGAGGGGTAGCTGTAGACACTATTTTATTATTTTATTATTTTTCTTTTTTTTCTCTTTTTTTTCTTTTTTTTTTGGTAGCGGCTCTAACAGTCGCCTGCAGCTGTACTATCAACAGCCCTGACAGCCATCGACAATCGTTCTGACAGTCACCGACAATCATTTTGACAGTCGGTGGCCACCTTAATCCTAGGCTACCAAAATCCCAGATTTTCTAATATTTTGGTCTTTTCTTGCTTTATAAATAGAGCACCGAATCCAAAAAAAGGAAAAAGGGGAGACCCTGAAAAAAAAAAGGTTCCAGAATAAAAAAAAAATTTTCTACCAAAAATAAAACCACACAAAAATCACAGTCCTCGCCGATTAGGTGAGGAACTAGTGCCAAACAAGACCTGCAAAAACAAAAAATACATCAGTTTTGATTTATAAAAAAAAAAGATAGAAACTTCGGGCCTCGATTTGCATTGATCGAGGCTATTTCTGGCAAAAAGAACATTGGATCTGGAAAGAGGGCATCGAGGAGAGCTTTTTAGAGCATTTTGGCATTTTTTAACCACCTGCAATGATCGTCGATAGTGACCCTAACGGTGATCGGTGCGGTGGTCTGAAAGTTGAACGATGTAGAGTTTTGGGGCTCTCCCTGAGGCTCTAAAATTTTTTTTCTAAAGGGGGTTTGGAATGAACTAAAAAAAAAATAGTTTTATATAGAAAGCCAAAGCCCAAAACAATGTCGTCTTGGGACCCCAGGATCCGCGTGTTGATCCGTAACCCGACCCGAGGTCCACGCCAGCCAACCCATTGACCCGTTCCTTCAACAGCTTCTGACTGGTTCAGTTGAACCAGATCAGACCAAATCGAACCATTGATCAAACCGTCGAACTATTGATTGGACTACAAAATAACCCGAACCGTCGAACTGACGTTGACCGGACCATTGATCGATCCGGTTTAAGTAAAAAATAATTTTGGAATTTTTTAGATTTTTTTATATATTATTTTTTATTTTAAATTTTTATTATTAATATTTATACATGTTAAAATATTTAAATTTGCTAGAATAAATTTTTGTTATTTTGTAATAAATAATTAATAATTAATAAAAATAAATAATGAAATATATAGTAAAAATTTGTGATAAATTTTGTTATTTTTAAAATAAACTTTATAATAATAATACAAAAATAATAAAAAATGTAAGAAAAAGAAATTTTTATCTGACTATGAGATTCATAGATACTTTGAGTAGTGATGCCTACGAAATCTCTAGGTGAGAATATTTTTTTTAAATACTACCAGTGTATTGGAGTATTTGTAAAAAGTTTTCAATACAATAAAAATCTTCTTTTTTGTTAATAAATGATAAATAAAAATTAACTAATAAATTAAAAAAAAAATAATAAAAAAAAAATTTTATCTGATGACGGGATTCTAAAAGTATTCTAAGTAGAGATGCTTTAAGAAATCCCTAAGTGAGAGGATTTTTTTTTAAATATTACCAGTATATTGGAATATTTATAGAAAATCTTCAATATAATAAAAGTTTCTCTTTTCTTCAATTGAAATAATAAAATTAACAAAAATCAATAAAATTTCTAAAAGAAATAATAAAATGTGTGCATTAACATATTAGCATTTTTTTTCCATTGCATGCACAACATGGTTTTTTACAAAAAAATAAATTCAAATTTCCGATGATGACATTTTAAGGTATTCCGAGAAATGATGCCTAAGAAATCTCTAGGTGAAAAAATTTTTTCTAATGTTATCAACGTATTAGAATATTTTAAGAACTATTTCAATAAAAAGGATCTAATTTTTTTTTCTTGAATAAAAAATGAAACAATAAATAATAAAAGATATAAAAAAATAATAAATGAAAAATCATGGAAATTATTTTTCAAACATCGAAAATAATATTGTTTTTGTCAAAATCAACGGATAACATGTAATTAATTGGTACCGTTTTAAACGAGCATTGTGGGAGTGCTAATTCTTCCCCACATGTAACCGATTCCCAAACCCAGATTGTTACGTAGACCCTAAAATTATCCTTTTAATAAATTTTAATTAATTTTAAGATTTCATTAAAAGGATATGTTTCAATAGGTAGCGAATCGCACCTAGTCAAAAAGGATTGGTGGTGACTCCGTTATTTTTATTTCGCTTTCAAATTCCTCGGGCGGACACAAAACTGTTACAACAATATATTGGAGGATTTTTTTTATTATAAACCAAGTTTATAGAAATTTACTTCTACAAGCAAAATTAAATGAATTCGACTATGGAGCCTCTTCAAAGAATAACAAATAGTCTCCTTGAATACTCCTGAGGTGAGAAAAATTATTAAATTATTACCAACATATTGGAGTAATTTAAGGAAAATTTCCAATATTAAAATTATTTGGTAAATTATAAATATGTTTTAAGGCTTGGATAACTTGAAATTAAACGGGTACCATCTTTTAAATGGGCACTGTGAGGGTGCTATAACCTTTTCACACATAACCATACTATCAAACCTAAACTTTGGTTTCATAGACTAGAATATACTATTTAAAAGAACTTAAGTCAATCTTGAGACTCCTCTTTAAATGGGACAGATTCTGTCAAGTGGCCAATCGCACCTAAACAAAAAAGATTGGTAGTGACTCTTTTAGTTTATATATAGCGATAGGTCCACAGATCTATACATTATGAAAATACTTATTGATGCATACTCTCATATTGAGATGAAATAAAAGTTTGGAACTTTTATGAAAAGGAAAATTAAGATATAAAATATTTGCTAGATATCTTTCACTGAAGGTGGATTTGGAGGCTTCCTACTTAAACAAAAACAACCACCAAATAGTGAAAAGATAAATAAAATGGCAACTTGATTAAGTGTATATGATATCTTGATAATTGAATGGGACATTCTTTAATAAAAGAATGCAAATTTGCACATGGTGGAGGTGATAAGAATCAAAAAATAAATAAATAAAAATTGCCATCATAGTGTTGTAAGATTTCAATATAATTTTATGAACAAAGTATACAAGCTAAAAAGTTTATTACAACTTATTAAAGTAAAATCATAAAAGGTCTTTAAATATCTTAAAAGGACTAAAATGGCTTGATTTATTCATTAAGTTTATCCAATTGTACTGGAAGAATAATTGTATTAAAATAAATAAAGTGTAGAATAGAATGATTGAAATTTTATATTAATGAGCATAGAGTTGTGGCCACAACCAATACCATCTATTTCTTAAAATGATAAGAGCGAGGCAATAATGTCTAAAGGATATAAATGATATGCAAAATGAAAATTTTGGACATATTAGCCTAAAGTAATTATATTAGAGATTTAATCTCAAATGGGGGTAATTACCATAAAAGAAAATTGAATTCCAAGATATTTGGTTAGTAATACTACAAGTAGAATCGATTTAAACCCTTATTATTAGACACCAATAATGAGAACCCAACTTTAAATTAGTAACCTTTAATTATAAAGTTTAATGGGTAAAAACAAATTATTGTTATGTGTCTATTAAGCACTCGTAAAATCCATTCAAATTTTAGAAACTAGCGTAACCATTGAGTAAGGAAGATGAGTTTTTTATACTCTTAATGAAGTTTATTATTTAAATTTCTAAAGCAACTGAGACATAATAGAAATTCTACCTATAGAAACATAGAAATGGTGTCGCTTCAACAAGACGAATTGAGATCTCTTTTGCAAATGTTTATGAATAGGATAGGTACATAGTCATAATAGTGCTAAAGCGATTATAAATTTCTAACAGAAGAATAAATAAGTATTATGTGTGTTATATCTTTAATTCTAACAGTAGGAGTTGAGGTTTAATTTGTGGACACTATCAGCTTCATTAGATTCTAAGATATATACGCTAATTGAATATTTAAATCGAGAGATATCTTCTTGTATTCATAATAGTTATATGTGTGATTAAGTACCAATATTCCAAACTCGTGGAGGATTATTGATAGTTTAGAATATGATGCATCCCACATTTGATAAAAAGATTTAATTATTGATGAATAAAATTAATTTTTGCATTAATTTTATTTATATTTAAATAATTATGTCTAAACAGAAACAATTATCAAATGACAAATTATTATAATTATTTGAATATAAATAAATTATTATTCATAAAGATCATGATTATACAAAAGGTCATAACCATTTGAATAGATGTTTATCCTATTCATTTACTCTTAATTAGAGAGTTTGAGGTTTATTTGTATCTTAGGGGCAGAATTACCTTTAAAAAAATGTTCTTTACACCTCAAAACCAAAATTCTTTTCTATTATTTATACTCTCTTATTTATTTTTTCTAATATATAGTTCCAAGCTGTCCTCTTCCATAGGGGATAGAACCAGAGAGGTTATTACCATACAGATAAAGCCATACCAAGTCATTTAGGTTTCCCAGAGATGTTGGGATAGCACCAGTGAGTTGGTTGTTTGAAAGATCAAGTGTATTAAGTAACTTCATCGTTCCAACTTCTTCAGGTATGGAACCATGGAGCCTATTGTCACGGAGGACAAGTCGGGACAAACTGTGCAAGCCTCCAATTGAAGTAGGTATTGGACCGGTGAGATTGTTTGCAGTAAGGTTAAGTAGAGAAAGTGAACTCAACCTTCCGATTTTAGAAGGAATACTTCCAGAGAAATTATTCAGTGACAAGTCAAGCTGAATGAGCTTGGAAAGGTTGCAAACCTCTTCAGGTATAGAACCACGTAGATGGTTATCATAGAAATAGATGTAGGAAACTGAACTCAAGCTCCCTATTTCTTGTGGAATGAAACCATTGATCTCATTATTTGATAAGGAAATTAACTCAAGACTTTTCAATAAGGAAATTTCGGATGGAATATTACCAGAAAAAGTATTGTATGACAAGTCAAGGTGGGTGAGCTTGGAAAGCTTCCCAATGTGTGAGGGAATGGGACCATACAGTGAGTTGTTACGAAGGTTAAGCAACACCAGGTTAGGGAAGAAAAAAAAGTTAAGACTATGAAGTGTACCTTTCAAGTTCAACATATAATCTGGAAGGTTTAGATTGGTGATGGTTCCAGCCATGTCGCAAGTGATTCCGACCCAGTTACAATGGCTGCCTCCTACCCACAAAGAAGAGAGCAAAGTTTGGGTGTTGTTGGCAAGGCTAGCTTTCCATTTTAGAAGAGTTTCTGTTTCATTTTCAGCAATGGAGGATGAAGAAGCAAAAACGGAGGGAGACTGATGCAGGACGACTATGAGGAAGAACAGGGCTTTGAATGGTATCATGAAAGATGCCATGACTTGGATGGTTCAAAAAGTTTTGTTTATTAATTGTTGTAAACTACATTGGTTAGCATGGTCAGGTATTTATGCAAAATACTAGAGCATTTCAGTCACTGCAAAACATTCACGTCAAGTTGAAAAATGCAATTTCAAAATTTGCGGGTCTTTTACATTTAAATTAATTTTCTTAGAATTTCTTTTATAAAAAATTCCAACATAGAAAAAAAATATAAATATTGATATTTAAATTTCAAATTTATTGTGATTATATAAATTAATTAAATTAAATTAAATTATTTATAGACATTGATTACTGATTTTTTTTATTTTCTTTTATAAAGTAAATAAAAGATTATTTTATTTTGGTTGATTTGCGCTTATTTCTTTGACTTTTATTCATGGACAGGTATTTATATGTGCAAAGGATTTGAAAAGTCACAGAAATTTACACCTCAACATGGAAAGAAATTTACGGCATGCTCGTCTTGTACGTCTGATGGATGTTGAAGTTTAAGAATTTGAAATCCGGAAAGTGGACATTTTCTTTCATATTTATTCTAATCTGTCAATTTTTTACTAGAACTTTCGTTTTGCTTCAATTTGATTTGTAGCTACTCATGACATAGCTCACTGCAAACACTTCATTGGAAAGTTTTAAGTTGACTTTCAATTGTTTGTTATATGTGAAATATTTTAAAGCTTATGCGTGGACTCGGAATTCTAATTCATTCAAAGTTCATATATTTCGTTTCCATGTTCTCAAGTTTGAATTAACCATAATACACTCAAATAGACTTTACCAAGAAATATGGAATCTGAATTTCAGCAATTCCACAGGAACGAAAATCAAATTCATACATATATATTCAACACCAAAAGGAAATAAATATTTTTCTAAATTTAAATACTAATATAATATTTTATGCTATTATTAGATTGCAACCTGTGCAATAAACGAAATAATTTTATCTATTTAATATAAGTATATACTTATAAATAAATTTTTTTTTTCAAATTTACATTCAAATTTTTAAAATTTATAATATATATAAAATTCATATATACTAACTTGTCTTAAAAAATAAATTATTTGAAAGAAAGCAAGAAAAAATGTCATGTCTACCCTTTGAACTATTTTAACTATAGTAATATATATACACATGTAAGACTATGTCAAATGAAAATATATTATGTCTTAAAAAACAAAACATGTATATTATTGAATGATAAATTAAATAATAAAAGAAATATTAATTAACATACTTTCACTTTTACAATCTTAATCAAATTCTTGTACAAAATATGAAAAATATTAGGAGATCTATGACAAAAAATAAATTGAAAAAATATTATTTTTCACAAGAATGAAATTGCAATAGTAATAAAATATAGAAAAAAGTTGCAAATTAAAAATAAAAAACTGTTTAACAAATTGTATTTATAATTTTAAATTTGTAGAAAAGCTATTGAGTGGCAATTAAGATTGAATAGGTAATTTTTAAATTAATTTTTTAAAATTTAAAAAGGATATAATAAGTGATAAATATGAAATCAAATTTTTGTATATATTTAAAATATAAATTTGAAAATTAAATTTGTGATGAATATAATCCTTTTTATCATCTTACTATTTTAAAGATTTAATATGAAAATTTGTTTTAATTTTTAATGTCTTACATAAATTTTTGAAAAAAATAATTTTTTATTGATTCAAAAAGGATTGTTGAAAATTTTGAATAAATTTAATCTTGTAAATTTTAAACATGTTGAAAGATTTTTATAATTAAATAATTTCTCAAATAAGTTTATTTGATAAACAACTAAAATTATTTACTATGAAGATAAAATCCATATTTCAAAGTTTTAAATTTAAAAAAAAAATCTAGATTGATTTGATTTTCAATTATAATTTGAATAATTTTATTAGTTGAGAAATTTAGGATTATCTAATTTGTAATTAAGAAAAAACTGCATACTTTTTTAATAAACTTTCTTATGTATTATTCAAAAAAATTATCCACATAAGCGTCACAAGCGTCCATGTGATGAATTTTATCATGTGTCTATGTTTGTTGTATTCTAATGTATATATTATATTACATCATATAAGATTGCATGATGAAAATTGCTTATGTGGCTGTTTAGGTAGATGGTCTCTTTTAATAACACATAGGATAATTCTTATATTATTTTATTTATTAAATGAATTTTTTGAATAAATTATTTAATTTAATATTTTGAATAATTATTTAACTTCAAAACAAAATCTATCTAAGATTGAAAATTTTGTATAAATTTTAAATTCAAATATATTAAATCATAATTTATCTTTTTTTTTAAAATTTAATCATAGTTTCAAATATATATACTTAATAAATTTTTATTTTTTGCCAAACTAATTTTATTTAATAAATTATTTAAATTTAATATTTTTAGATAATTATTTAAATTTAAATCAAAATCTATCAAAAGATTGAAAATTTAGCATAAATTTTAAATTCAAATATATTAAATCTTAATTTATCATTTTTTCAATTTAATCATGATTCCAAATATATATAGATTTATTAAAAATGTATGTTAATAAAATTTTATTAAAAATTTTATAAAATGTATTTAGTGCTAATGTAGATTTATTAAAAATGTATGTTAATTGATGCTGAGATATGAGTGTGCATTGTTAACTGCTGCAGGAGCTAAATCAACTATGTGATATTATTGCGGAGCCACTGAGGGATCGAGTCGTGACCAGTCTTCTTCAAGCATAACTGATCTTTTTCTAAATCTGCATCTTCCGCCAAAATTTAAACTGATTCTTAAAGTTTTACTTATTGAAATGGTTTCTTTTTCTAGGAAGGCTTACTTCGAGTTTTATTAGATGGAGGCCAATGACGAGTTTTTTCCCCAAGTGATGCAAAGCTATTGGAAGAAGATTTGGAAATAATAAAGGTGATCACTGGCGGCTTCAATAAAAATTAACAATATTGACAATGATGATGGAGTTAATGATAACATTGAACACGGATTTCTCAGTATTAGAAGTTTGTCTCTCTTTCTCCACTGATTTGAGTACCTCTTTTTGTTTAGACAAACTTAGACCTTGAAAGGTGCTATGAACGAATTGGGCTTACTGCTTCACTTTTGATTTCTGATCAAATTGATTGTCTATTGTGTGCAATTTGATCGATTTATTGTAGCTGTAGGACTCAAGTGACACTATCTATTCACATGAATGTTGGTGTGTTACTTAGAAGTTCTTTATTTCTGGAGGTGATGGACTTCCTCGAGGAGTCGTTGAAAATCAAGTAGCACGCGTTCGGCTTGTTGCAAAGTGACATGGATTGGAGGTAAGATATGGTTCTTTGACTATTTCTGTTTCAAACCTCTCTTTTGGAAAGGTGAAAGGGTACATTTGCTACCAAAGTTATGGTGAAAAATATTGGAAGGAATGAAAAATTGTCATTAACAGGTAGTTTAATGACAAATAAAAATATTTCTGACCATTGTGCCTATATTATCTCCTGTTTAAGTGTTTGAATTTTTTAACATGCATTGCACTATGCCAAAATCTAATCTTTTAACAAAGGATAATCTTTTGGGCATTATGCAAACAAATATTTTTCTACGTTTATACCGCAGGAAGACGTGATATTAATTTTTTTCAACCATAATCGTTTGCAGACTCGAGAATTGGTTGAGGACTTGAGATCTTCAAGTGGCAAACTAAGTGCTGATAACCAGACTTTGCTGGGAATATTATGCCACAGGCCAGATTCAGAGGCATCCCATTTTGTCAAGAAGCAGTATAAGATACCCAAATCTTCTGCATAGGCTGACACTTGCATCTGAGTAGTTGACTCAAAATCGGCTAGTTATGGCATTTTTAAATTAGTTTGTTCTCTTCTTTGTTTGTTTAAATAATTCACATTTGATGTCTATTTGAGAGGGAAACCATACCCTGAATGCTCCATGGCCAAGTAGAAGTGTTTTGAGCCAAACCTATTTGCGATGAGGTATAAAAGCTTGGTCTATTTGGCAAGCAGCGAGGACGCTCAATGACCCTCCAATGCGGCCGCGTTTGCTAAGAGTTTATGGACTTAATATTGAGTACGTAGGGAAAGTTGACTTGTGGTTTTTATCAGTGTCGGAAGAAAGCTTCTTCAAGAGATTCTTTTATCCTCCCCAGAATTTGGCAAGTTCAATGTTTCTAAGCTAGAATGGTATTCAGCTGTGGGATGGTCTAAAAGGTTGTGGTCTGGAGGGGATGTTAACCTTAAACTATATTTTGCTTATTTGTACTTGTTTCTCCTATGAAATTTCTGACATTCAACTTTCTTTTGTTTCTTTCCTTTTGAAATAATAAGTGTTTGACTCAAATATATTCATTTTTCTTCCTTATATTTGGTGTATAAATTCATATACGACAAATCCATTTGATACAAGAAGAAAAATAAAGAGGCATAGCAATATGATAGTATTGTAGGATGTAGTCCAGTTGAATCCTTATGCATTGTCAGGCTTAACTGGAAAGCTCGAAGAAAATTCATAGTTTAAAATTTGACTCAAATTTAATTGAATTTTATTGTTCATGTTAAAATATGGTATGTAATTTAATTGTATCACTCGAGTTTAACTTAGTAAACTTCATTAGGTTAGGTGAAATTATAAATTAATCATTATTTTTGTTATTTATTTATATATGCATTAAATATATTAAAATATGAATCTTATTAAGCTTTTGAATCTCTTCACTGAAATATTAAATTACTCAAATTAAATTGATCCACTATTCAAATAATTCAAATTTGAGTTTGATTTGACAATAAATAAATCAAAAATCAAATACTACAGCTTAATTTGTTTATATTCTTATAACATTGTTTTTAAATCATAATTCAAGAGACCTGTACACGTGTTTGAGAGAAAGAAAAAGAAAAGGATTGACATACCAAATCAAAATCAATTTTGTTGGATTCAATTTTAACTCTATTTATATTTTTTAAAATTTGCAATGT